GTCAGAGCAGAGGGATGGTGCAACGTGTGTGTGCACAGAGACATCAAACGGGCGATGCTGCGTCAGGAGACGGACAGCAGAAGTGATTTGGGGCCCGCTGGCCTCTGCAGAAGGATAACAAAAGAAAAAAGGAAACTGTGAAGAGCTTCAAAATTCAAAACGCTTCTTGGAGGAAGAGAGCCATGAGTAGCACCCGACAGATGTTGCAGTTGTTCAGTGTTTGATGCCTGCAGGCATCGAGCAACCGGCCTCACACCAAAAGCAGAGGTGACTGCTGAGGTCACTGCAGGTCTGGCCAGTGCAGAGACCTGAGGACAAGCCTAAAAGTTTCAATGAACTCCATGATCCCTGAAGAAAGAAAAAAAAATAATAAAAAGGCCCAGAAAGACACCCAGCACTGGACTGGCACAGTGCTCCACTCCTCTGGACAGGAACAAAAGCTGACCATGCATAAAACGTGACAACACGCATTGGGAGCCAAATTCTGACTTCATCAGACCTATTAAAACCAACCATCAAGGGGAGCCTCAACCTACTCAACTCTACAGGAAGAAGCACCAGGCTAACGCTTTCCCCTGTCGTCTCCCTTGTGCCAGCCTCCCCAGGATGCCAGGGGATGGAAGCCTTCCTCCTTCTCCTCCCACCCCTCATCACAGGGATGCACACAAGGCAGAGCTGACACAGCCACTGCTGCGCTGAATCCCTTCTGGTAAAGCTGCCTCACGTTCCCAAAGAGCCATTAATCCGTCACCCTTCAGCTCTACAATTCATACAAATTATTTTATTCATAATTAATTAAGGTCTCTGAATGTGGAAATTAAATTACCATTTACAGAGCAAAAGGAGATGGCGCAGGAAAACCTGGACAGCAGCAACAGCTCTGCGTGGATCAGGAGGACACGGAGGGTGGGGACTTATCTGGCAGTGTTGTGGAGTCACACAGTGAAATCTGTACTAGGTCAAAATACAGATTACAGCATCTTTGAAAAGCTGCTCAGGCCCAGTCACGAGAGACCTTTAAGTCTGAGGTGCCAAATTAACCCCAAAACTCAGGTTCCCCCTCAACTCTGCTGTTAATAATCCCCTTGACTCTTGCACTAGGAGCACGTTTTGAGGGCAGCTAAAGACCCAGCATTCCTTCTGTTGCTTGGCTCCTCCGCTGGAAAACAAGCTGCTGGGAGAACAAAAGAGCTGCTCTCCCTCACGTGTATTTAGCCTCACCTTTCCATTCGAATCAGGCTGCCAGAGAGGAGAGAACATGCAGGAAAACAGATGGCCCTGCACTGAACACGAGGCATAATTCACTCGAGGGGCCGGGAGGGAGAGGGGATGAGCAGGCTGAGGATCGACACCACCACGGAATTCAGCCACACAGGCACAGCAGGGCTCTGCTCTGACAAATACCACAGCCACGGACGGTTTCTCCTCAACTCAGAAGGGAAAGATTGTGAAAAAGTTAATTTGCTTCTCATTTCAGCGGCAAAGGAGCATCCGAATCAATGACGGGGATGATTCCACGACAAGTTTCAAAGGGCAACTCTCTCCCATTCCCGACAGCCCATGGATAGACTCAAGTACCAGAATCAACACAGGAGTAACAAGATCTTTTTCCCTTATATTCAGCTCCTGGTTTGCCCAGTTGCCAAGGGATTTCTAGGGTAAGAAGATGGCAAGGAGATGGTCTGTACACAGTTACTCAAGGAGACCAACCAGGAAACAGGCGTGTCCCAGACGTTCCCATGCTCAGCCAGGCAGGCAGATTGCAGGAAGGTTAATGGCCACGTTGAAACTCAAAGAAGAAAAGGTTCACACGAGTGACCTTTCTGGTTTCCACGCAGCCAAAAATAACAACGCACCAACTACAGGCAAGTTTCAGGACCAGACTCCCCCCCCGCCACAAGCCCCCCAGAGCACTCAGTGAAGTCAGGGAAGGCTGTGCTAACAGCATGCACAAGTTCTCCTGACAAATGGAACAGGGGGAGGCCGCTCACAGCACCCCTCGGGAGCCTTTCACGATCAGCCCTTCACTTGGCAAGGCAAACCCCACCAAGCCAAGGAAGAGCACAGGCATGTTTGGCTGCTGAGAAAGCAGGCTCTGAAGAGATCGAGAATGCGGATAGCAGGAACAAGAAGAACTGCTCCGTCTGGTCTCCCTTCCCCGCTCGCCCATCGCCACGAACCCGCTGTCTCCGTGAATCCAACCAACTGGTAATTCCCCTTCTGCCGCTGACGCACAGAGGATGCGAGGCCTCAATTAGAGGGATCTGTGTCTCACGGGCTGTCAGAACTCCTGCCTTCAGCTCCACAGCGCCCCAGGTCAGCTCCTGACGGGGAGCTGTGCTCCCCACAGCGCCTGCAGACACGGGGGCAGAGGGGCAGGACTGGACCCGGCTGCTGCGGAACAGCCGGTTTGGAAACCCCGCGGTTTGTTCCTCAAGAAGTTCATCAGGAAGAATTTCTCCACGGTTGTTAAACGCTGGCAGGGGCTGCCCAGGGAGGTGGTGGAGTCCCCACCCCTGGAGGTGTCCAAGGAATGACTGGATGTGGCACTCAGTGCTCTGGCCTAGTTGACAAGCTAATGATGGGTCTCAGGTTGGATTCAATCCCAGAGGTCTTTTCCAACCTATGTGATTCTGTGCTGGCAGCATCAAGTTGCTATGAAATTAGAAGACTCACGTGAGAAGTGAGCTGAGGTGCCCCTCACACCACAGACTGCATTTCAGCATCCCTGCCCTGGGAGCAAAAGGCCCCTCCAAAGGCAGCTCTGCTCTGATTTGTAGGCAGACCTCTCCCTCAAGACCTCAAGAGTAGCAGCCACAGCCCAGGTGCCCACATGGCACAAACACAGACCCCAGCCTGTCTCCCAAGAGCTGTGGTGGCAATGCCCCCGTACCCAGCAGCACACACACAGACCCTCGAGCGTGGCAGACAGGAAAACAGCAATTCCCTCAGCGGGACCACTTTTGTTAAGAGAAGGACCCGAAGCAGCACAAACACCTTCTGCAAACCACCCCCACCAAACATCACACATCAGAAATACCACCCCTCAGCTGGCCATCAAGGGCTTTTCTTCCTAATGAGCTTTTTCAAGCCTTTGCAGACAGTGACCACAAAACAATTATAAAGAATAATAATATTGGAAAATGCCAATTAGGGAGAGCACAAGAACAAAGCTTCAAAAGGAGAAAAACAACTTCCACAAAGACACTCCTCGTTTTTACCCAGCTACAGACAGTACTTATTTGAGGCAAAACATTTTGCTGCAAAAAACACAGAACCATAGAACAGAATTTGTTTTAATTATGTAACTCTGACTTCCCACACAAACAAATCCAGCTACGGAAAATGCCATACCTTGGCTTTTCAAATGGCACGAGTCGAGCCAAGCCGAAGAAGAGCGCACACAGTAATTAACATTTTCCTTGCAATCTACAAGGTAATTCACCACTAGGTTTTGCCCACTGGGAATCAAACGCTGCTGCAAAGCGACACAAAACCCCGTTCCAGAGTAAAATCTGTCTCTGCCCTGTCCTTGTTGCTCCCTGGAAAAATCCGCGTGTGCATGTGAACGGAGACGAGCCAAGGGGTCCCCACTGGGAACCACAGCCACCCCCAGTGCAGCAAACGTGTCTTCAAGGGTGAAAACTTTTTTTTATTTCAGCTCCATTTTCCAGTGCTGAGCCGCCCGGGGTTATCAGCATAAACATCAAAGGCGCGGAGCCGCGTCAGGCGCGTCAGCAGCTGCCCCAGCCGCAGCTCCACGAGCGGTGCCAGAGTAATTTTGCCAACCTACCTGCCAGCCAGCACCAGGATCCCAGGGAATTATTGGGCACGCAGGAAAAAAAGAAAAAAAAAAAGAGAAAAAAGAGATACATACACGGATAGGTCAGAAGAAAGCACGCCAGGCAATTAAAAAGGAAAAAAGAACATCAGATTTCTTCACATCAGAGGAGAAATCATCATCATCCAGGCTATTCCACTCCATTAATTTTTTAGCGGTGCTACCCATTCAAGTCAAATATCAGACAGAGAATTCATACTTTTAATTTCTTTTGAAGCAAGCCTTCTTCTGTTAAAAAGGAGAACTGACCTGATAGCAATTCATTTGGGGGGGGGGGGGGGGAGGGAAGGGATTCCTTCTCACACAGCAAATTTGGTAGCAACACCACAATTATTGCAAACTGGTTTCTGCAATACATCTGATTTGGAAGGTGCTCAGAAGCCAAGGCTTGGAAAAAGCCAGTAAAGCCAAATGCTTCTGTGAGGTAGCTTTTTTTGGAGCTTTTACATATTTATTTATTCATGATTTTTTTCCTCCCAGTTTGCATCTAAAGCTTGATCTAAACCCCAAAGGGGAAAAATACCAGTTTACTGTATTTTTATATACTGTTTAAGCAGCAGGAGGAGATTTCTGGACCCTCCCTCAGGCAGCAGCCACAGAGTCAACCTGCTTTTCCCAGGGAAGAAGCTGAAAGATAGTCCTGTCAGTGAGATGCTCACACCAACCCTCCTTGCTTTAAAGAGGGGTTAGTCCTGATCTCCTCGCCTATGGAGAAGAAATTTAACAGATGGAGAAGGACAACCTTCTCTCAGGCCCAACAAAACACAGCCCAAATTCCCCCAGCACCGAAATCGTTTCCAAAGGGAATTCCCACAGCCAAGGAAGGGAGAGCAACAGCAGTCCCATAAAGCCACAAGAGGTGGAAAAACAGAGCAACAACCACCCAAAGACACGTCCTGCTATTTCTGCAGACTACTTTTGTAAAAAAAAAAAAAGAGGCAAAAAAAGCAAACTGCTGCTTAAAATACACTTTGGAGGTTACACGAGGGATGTTTAAAAAAACCAAAACCCTACTAATTCTTTGTTAAAAGGAAACATCCTGAGCGAAAGCCCTAGGAAGAAATCCAAATAAACTCCTGCCACAATCGCACACCACTGACTCAGGAGCTCTGTGCTGAATGCACACAAGCAGTCTGGAGGCAGGGCTTCCCCCTGCCCTTCCGAGTGTTCAGCTCCTCTGCTCTTAACACTGGCTCAGATAAATAAATCAAATTGAAGGAGGACAAGAAGGAGCCCCTGGAGCGGCTCCAGCACAGACGCCCAAGGGATGGAGCATCTCTGGGAGCAGGAGACACTGAGGGAGATGGGGCTGTTCAGCCTCCAGGGGAGGCACCGAGAGGGGACCTCCCCCACGTCTGTAGGGTGCGCAGGGAGGGGGCAGAGGATGGATCAGGCTCTGCTCAGGGGGACCCAGCAATGGGACAAGAGGAACAGGCAGGAACTGATGTCCAGAAAGTTCCAGCTGGACAGGAGGAAGAACTTCTTTGCTGGGCAGTGACTGAGCACTAGAACAGGCTACCCAGAGAGGGTGTGGAGTCTCCCTCACTGGAGATATTCCAGAACCCTCTGGACACAACCCTGTGCCACATGCTCCGGGATGGCCCTGCTGGAGCTGGGACAAAATGCCCCACGGTGGCCACTTCCAGCCTGACCCATCCTGGGATTCTGTGACTCTGGGAAGGGGCTGGTTTGGCTGCAGGTTTCCAAGAGCAGTCTGCTCCCAAACACTGCCCCACATTGAAGCCTCCACTCAAGTCAGATCAGCCCAATTAAAACGAGCCGGAACAATCCTATTACAGCCCTGCTGGCCAGTGTCTCACCCAGACAAGCTTAAATGCATAATTAATTAGCTACTTTAAGAAAGCTCAGTAGTCTCTTTCTAGGACCAGCTTTCCAGAACTGTAAGGTATTGCACCAGCTGCAATTCCAACAGACAGCACAGGGAAAAGAAAAAAAATCCCAAAGCCATTTCCCTCTGTAGCAGAGCCCCCATGGACACCACGGGACATGGACTCTCCTCTGCACCAAAACCCTGCAGCAGCCCTGGGGCTGTGCAAACCCACATCAGCTGCAGGTGAGGCCCCCGTGCCCTGGCTGGGACTGGCTGCCACACCTGGAGCAGCAGCCACATTCCAGAGGCCAGGAGAAGTTTGGTAGATAACACAAGCACAACCAACCGTGAGCAGGTGACTCCTCATTCTGGCTACACAGAGAGCTTGCAGCCCCTGGCAGGGTCACTGCAACTGGGCCACGGGGCAGAGCACCCTGTGAAGACCTGGATTTATTTTCTTTATCAGTGTTTTCTTTGTGAGACAGACACTATTGTCCATGAAACGCTTAAGCACACCGAGCCTTCGAGTCAGCACCCGGACACCCCCTTAACACAAATAAACACAGAGGGCTGTGCTGGGTTAGAACCACCTCGAAATAAAACTCAAGACACCACTTGAACCAAAGTAGCAGCATGTTTACTTTAGGCCTCTGGAGTGGGAGCAGGCATTGCAACCCAAGCACAGAGAGGGCAGGGAGATTAAAACAGACCCAAACACCGTAACAAGCCCTTGGATGAATCTGAAAGCAGAAACCCAGGCTCTGACAATCCCTGACATCACTGCAGATTTAGCTACACAGGTGGACAGATATCCATCAGTGTTTAAATTCTCCTGAGGATTCCTACAAGTTACATCTTATTCTGCAGAAAGAAGTGACACAAAACAACTCTACCTTGGCACACTTTCAGCCCCTGAATTTCAGAAAGCTCTTGAGTCAAATGAGGATGGGCAATCCAACATTTTTAATCTCAGCTACGAGAAACAGCTTTTCAAACAGAGAAAACACTGGCACAGATTAGCAAAAGACAAATTGGTTCAACCTCTTTCAAAACCTCAGGAGGGTAGAAATGATCTTCTTCCACCGAGCACAAGGGAGGCAATTTTAAAGGAAAGCATCCATGAGGGGTGACACTGCCACACCTAACTGGAAAGACAAGATTCAAGGCTAGATCAAGTTTTGTTGGCAAGCCAGAGGAACTCCATTGATATCAACTGTCCTACCCACTTAGCAAAGCCAGGACGTGTCTGATGGTACCACACAAAGTGACCTCAGTTCTGAGCTTGTACCAGCAAGGAACAGCCTCTCCCACTGAAACCTGTGGACTCCTCCAGACCTTCCATCCCAATATGCCACCGAGTCAAACCTGCAGCAATGACCATCCCAGCCTTGAAACATGCAATGGCACACACGAAAAACATCCTCCAGTCGATCCCAGCGCTTCTCAGTTCCTTCAGAAATAGTCACCTTCAATGGCTAAAAAAACAAAAGAGGCTGTTCCAGCAGCATCTGGCGCTCTGCATTTTGTGAGAAGAGAAAGGTTATCAATTCTCTTCAACAGGTATGTAAAGACTGGGAGGGAAAGGCACATGCACCAGGAATCCCTGGAAGGAGAGCAATTAGCCACTCAGGAGGGAAGAGAGCGACTCCAGCAAAGACAAGATTGGGAATGGCCTGGTGAAATACAGCAAAAACGTCCCCCTGTGAACAAAACCTGCCCTGTGTGTCGCTGCTTTCCTGTCACGGTGCCAGCCCGTGCAAGTGACAATTCCCAACGTGTTTTCCGCAAACTTCCTGCTGGTTAAAATTCACCAGGCAGGTGTTTAGTGGCCAGGAACTGCCACGGATCAGGGGTTCATTTACCGGCCACGGTCAACTGCAGGGAAGCAGAAAAACACCACCACAGCTGCCTCTCCTTTCCCATATTTCTGGCATCTTCCTAACTCCGTGTGGCTTGTGGAGCCAAGGAGCAAAAGGAAAGCCCAAAGCACCCAGCAAACAAAAGAAGAAAAGCTGGTCTTTCACAGGGATAAAAGGAGGAGCTGTAGTACCTGCCCCTGAAGTGCAAACAGGTTCAGACACCTTCTCTTAGGGAGATAGAGAGCGTTTCACATCCAGTTCCTCCCACCACCTCCAGCACTAAGGTACTCCGGGAAAGAAGGAAGGATGTGCTGGGAGAAGACTGTGCATTTGCATCGGGCACTCTGATGGTACAAACACCCCCTAAATGTGCCCACATTTGTCAAAGAGGTGACTGAGCAGCAGGGCAGGAGTGACAGCCCAGGGCAGGGCTCACCAAACCAAGGTTGTCTTAACACCTGAAAACCTGACTCACAACACGCTTAGAGCCAACACAGAGGCGATGGGGATTAAATTCCTCCTTTCCACAAAGACTGATGCAGGCCTAGAACCAGAACAAGTCTGTTTAGGGCAACACTCTCAGGTTGGTTACTCTCAAAATGCTTGACAACTTTTACTGCTCCCTTCGAAAACTTTCAAAAGTGTAAAAAAATAAAGCAATTTCCAGCTTCTGCTTGAGAGAAGGGATACCTCCTTTTCAGGACTGCCTGAGGAGAGACTGCTGTCCCTCACAGACATTATGTTGACTCCTCATCCTTGCCATTGTTTTGCCCTCCTTCCAACACGGGTGTGCCCTCAGCAGGTGGGATCCTTGCAGGATGTGCACAAACAGGGTCTCAGAACACAGATGCCTTCCCAAGATCCCCACCCAGCAGTGACCCAGGTTTGGGTGCTGACAAAGCTCTTCAAATGAACATTCCCTGTCCAGGAGAGGCACTGGAACCCAGCAGGATAACAGGTTCCCTCCTCACTCCCACCACGCACCAGCTCTTCCCTCTCCTGTCCGCCAAAACAGGGGATAAATCACCCTCCTGTGGACTGAAACTCGGTTGTTCACTGATTCCAGAGACCCTGAGCATCTGCAGCAGGCAAATCTCCCGAGGCATTTCATGTCCTGCCATTCCCAACTCGCCACAGGACGATTCCCATTAGGGTGCCCCTGCCTCCTCCGCAGGATTTCGGCTGGCATGGATCCTTAAGGGCTCTCAGCAAAACTGTGCCTCCGCTGCTGCTGCCAAGCCTTCCAGCATGCCAGAGCTCCAATCCTTCTGGAAAAAATGTTCTTCCCTCTTTCTGGTGCAGAGCTCCATCTACATCCCTTTTCTTTTCGAAGGATGTCCTTCCACACTCCCAGCACAACCTGAAACCTCATTTCTCTTCCCCTCCTCCCATATTTCAAACAAACTTTGGTTCTCTGCAGAAAATTTAAGGATTTGCTTCCATAGCCACACCGAGCTGACAGTTTGATTTTAAGCACAGTGTTCAGCCCCCTTTCTGCTGCCTCTCCTGCTCCCACTGCAGGGCAGAAGGAGGCAAAAGGCAAAGTACCCCACGGAAAAAATAAAAAGGCACTAAACTTGTTACGTGCTCCAGGGGGATGGAACAATCCTGGGCAACCAGAGAGCCCCTGCTGCCAGGGGGAACAGGAGAAGCCCCCCAGCAGCAGCAGCCGCGGTCACAGTCACATCCATCAGCCCCAGGAGGCTCCTGGGGCTTGACCAACAATTTAGTTCTCCAAAGGTCAGTAAAACCAGAGAGCCCTGGGGGCCAGATGGGGGACAGATAAAGCCTACCTGGGGCAGGGGGTAAGGGGGAAGAGATGACTCCCTGCCACAAAAATGCAGACAGCTTATCTACCAGACCCCGGGGGGTCCCTTCTGGGGGATGTTATTCCTCCTTTTCCAGGAAGGGAAGGGAGGGGGGAGTGTCTTTAGGCGCTGTTGGTTAAGAAATACAGAGGAGATCTACTTTCTGTCGGCCAAACCTACAAGCACTTCTTCCACTGCCCGCTCCAGGTGCCTCCTCGCTGTCACCTGGTCTCTTTTATCCCCTGACAATGGAAGGACATCAGTGCAGATTCCACTTCTCAATGGAGAGAAAGCTGCTGGAGAGAGTCCAGAGAAGGCCCTGGAGCTGCTCCCAGGGCTGGAGCCCCTCTGCTCTGTGGCTGGGAGAGCTGGGGGGGGTTCCCCTGGAGAGGAGAAGGATCCAGGGAGACCTGAGAGCCCCTTGCAGGGCCTAAAGGGGCTCCAGGAGAGCTGGAGAGGGACTGGGGACAAGGGATGGAGGGACAGCACACAGGGAATGGATTCACATGGACAAAGCACAGGGTTAGATGGGATAGTGGGAAGGAATTCCTGGCTGGGAAGGTGGGCAGGCCCTGGCACAGGTTGCCCAGAGAAGCTGTGGCTGCCCCTGGATCCCTGGAAGTGTCCAAGGCCAGGTTGGAGCAACCTGGGCTAGTGGAAGGCGTCCCTGCCCATTCCAGGGGGTGGAAATGGATGATCTTTAAGGTCCTTCCCAGCCAAACCATTCTGGGATTCTACGAACCAGGTGAAAAGCTGTCTGCAGCCCTCAGACCTTAACCTGCACTCCAGAGCCTGCGGCTCTGTGTTCCCCCCCAGATGGCCCGGGCGAGCTGCAGTGAGTAATGCAATTAGTGAACCACTAATCACCTCCACGGTCACATGCTCCAGTGAGTGTCTTCACAGAGCTGTGAATGCCCCACTGCAGCCACGCCAGAGCTTTTAACACTGGCATTAGTTCATCCTTCACCTGAGGCACGAGAAAAAAAACACACAACCGAAGAAACAAAAACACGAAAAAAAACCCAAACCAAAACAAAACAAACAAACAAAAAAAAAAACACCAACGGCAAAAAAAACCAAACAAAACCACACAAAACAAACCACCCACAGCACGGATTTGGCCATCAGCTAAACTGGTGACTGCTGGTCAGCACCATCCAAGCCTTTTCTTGACCCATCACAAGCCTCACACCCGACAGATGATACAAATGATGATGACGCCGCTAATTTTCAAGTTCATATTACCCAGAAAGAAATGCATGCAGTCATCACAAAAACCGGTGCAGGCTGTCAGAAATCAAGTGAGAGAGGCTTACTCTGAAAAAAAAACATAAGAGCTGCTAAATACAAACAGGCTGCAAAATCCCCCAAACGCAAACTGCTGGGAGAGCATTTTGGAGAAGTGTCGGCAGCACCTGCCCTGGTCTTACACCCATCCCTAGGACAGAAGGGTCTGGCACTAATTAGCTGCCTTCCACAGATATATTTCATAGCAGGAAGAAATCAAATATGATGTGAGAATGTGTTCACAAGCCAGGGGGAAGAGGAAGGGGAGAGGAGGCTGCCCAAAGAACTCTGTTACTCACCCAGGTTGAGCTCACCTTCACCTCATGCCCCAGCAGGTACCTCCAAACACGCACGAACGGCCAAAGGAAAAGTGGGGTTTGCCAACCTCACAGCCCTCTGAGGCCTTCCTGTGATGCAAGACAGAACACCCCCCTGAAATCACGTGTTGCCAACAACCTCCACGTGCAGGAGAAAAGTAAACTTTTCAGAGCGATCCAAAGCTGAAAGCTCGACAGTTTTCACTTGAGAAACAAGGATGAAAACGTGAATTGCCACCAGTGTCACCAGCAAAGCCTGAGAGCAGACAAGGGTCGGAACAGAAATGTAGGCAGCTTTTGAGACACTTGCTTCTGTGTCCCACTAGGCATGTTTAGGAAAGACCTTAAACAGCGACTTCTTCTTTGGTTTATTACCAGGGGAAAGAAAATATTCCAGCATGGGAGCCCCGAAGCTAAAATTAAACCTCTCTCATTTGGGTTCAGCAGCAGTTGGTACAACTCAGGTCCCAGCCACAATGAGAGGTCTCCAGCATTATCAACTGTCAACAATTACCACTGGCCAGACACACAAACCAGCTTTGTTCTGGACTGGAAGCCACAAATGCAACCAGCAGTAATTGCTACCAAAGGCAAAACAAAACAAAACAACACACACACAGAAAAAAACCCTCTCCAAAGAAGAATACAGGAATGGACACATAAGTGTTGCTATCTCCACGCAGATCTTGAAGAAACCAAGGGTGAAATCCAAGTCTGTACACCCAGCAAAGGAGGGGGCTAGCAAGGAACAAGGATCCCCAAAAGACACTTGTTAACAATTCCAGGCTGAACTCACGTTTAATGGAACACGCTGTTCATTAGTGACGGAATTTCATTAGCAGTTTAAGGGAAAGCTGCACATGGAAGAGACAAAATGCAATCAATTTCTCCTGCAATTTCATACATTGCCACACCGAGCCCCAGCAAGCTCAGCCCAACCCGGATTAAAACCCAAATCAATTAATACTAATTGCTCACCTTATTTTCACAGAGGGATCTTCGCACTTTGGCAAGCCTCAATAATAAAAAAAAAAAAAACAGAAGACAAAGGGCCATTTGTACAGAAAGCAATTTACTTGTCTGGTCTTTTTATATCCATTTAGCTATGCATTTAATTACGCTGGCAGGTGATTCTGTCAGCTCCACTTTCCTTCCTCACGACTCCCCCACGGCGAAGGGACAGCACGGAGCAACCCCGTTGTCAAAACCCACATAAATAGAACAAACAAAGTTTTCCAAGTCATGGGGCAATATCCCAAACCCACTGGCTTCATCAGCTGGTGTGACTCTCCCAGGAGACACCAAAGACCAAGCCAGGAAATGTATTTCGTTAGCAACGAGTGGAGGTAGCGAGATTTATGTTCACAGAATCACAGAAAGGTTTGGGTGGGAAGGGACCTTAAAAACCCATCCAGTCCCACCCCCTGACGTAGACAGGGATACCTTCCACTAGACCAGGTTGCTCCAACCTGGCCTTGGACACTTCCAAGGATCCAGGGGCAGCCACAGCTTCTCTGCCCAACCAGTGCCAGGGCCTGCCCACCCTCATAGCCAGAAATTCCTTCCCAATATCCCACCTATCCCTGACCTCTGTCAGTTTGAAGCCATTCCCCCTTATCCTGTCACTCCAGGCCCTTGGAAATAGTCTATCTCCATCTTTCCTGTAGCTCCCTTCAGATCCTGGAAGGCCACAATCAGGTCACCCCACAGCTTCTCTTTCTTTCTCCAGGCTGAACAATTCCAGCTCTCCCAGCAGAGCTGCTCCATCCCTCTGATCATCCTGGTGCCCCCTCTGGACTCCCTCCAGCAGGTCCTGGTGTGAAAACACTCTAAAAAAAATGTATTGTCCCATCATCCCAAACCTAAATGGAAGCTTCAGATAACCTTTCTCACGGTCAGGGGAAAACACACTTAAAACCCTGTGTTGCACAGGCACCTGCCCGAACCCCCAGCGAGGGCCCAGGATGAAGGAACAAGCTGCAGATGGAGGCCTCCTGCAAGTCCTGCAGGTAGGAATGCAGAAAGGCAGGCAGGGCATGATGAATCAAGGCTTTCATCCCAGTTCCAGACAGCACCAAAACTCCGCGGGAGCTTTCTGGGTGGTCAGGAAGCAGCACTCCGAAGGTTTAAAGACACGCTTTTCCATCAGCAAACCGAGCTGAGGAGCTGATGCAACCAAACTGAGCCGTGCTGGAGCACTGGGACACGGAGGGAGATGCCTTTTGCCGGAGGTAAGACATAGGGAAAGCGCTGGCTGAGAGGAGAGAAGGGACCTCGTGGAGGAGCTGGAGAGGCCAAGCATCCCAAAACCACGCCAAGGGGGAAAAGCAGGCATAGGGCTGGCCTTAGGAGAAGCAAAGTGTGATGGGTTGAGGGCAAGGGATCATCTGAAACAACAAAATCCACCCGCTGGTGCAGTAATGGATGGGTCTGAGTGACAAAAGCAGGACCTGGATCCAAGCAGGAATTGCCCTGGCTTGCAGAGAGCCTGGTGCCTGGCTCAACATTGCTCCTGAGGGAGGGTGGAAAGCCAGAGAGAGAGGAGTGAGGCCATGACAAATCTTCCAGGTGACTGTAACATATAAAAACAAAATCTCAAGAAAAAAAAAAGGGGGAGGAGAGGGGTAATCAAAAAATCCAAATGCCAAGGAAAACTTTCCTCCCACCACCAGCTTTCTGCACGTTTCCCTCTGCAAATAAGACAGACAAGACACAGGCAATCGAGGTATCCGTGTCCTTGTAGAGTAGTAGTGCTGGTGCAGCAGGAAAAAAACGTGGGCAAAGAATTCCACCCCAGCTTTCTGGCACGAGGTTTTAAATCTCTAGATATAAGATGTTTTGAGTGAGAGATGAGAGATGTTTTCCAGCTGTGGTTTAACTCCAGCCTAGAGACATGCAGCTGCTCTGTAAAGGTAGTTCCTAAGAGCTTTTTTTTTTCTTTTCTTTTTTTTTTTTTAGCAACAAAGGCGGAGGAAACTCCAGTCATCTGAGAGCGCTTTTGTCAGCCAGTCTGAGCACTGACTGATGCAGGACAAGAGAGGAAAAACACTTCTTTCTTTCCTCAGGTGGTCGGTCTGGGCTGCAGTTCTTTTGGGGAAAGCAGGAGGGCTGTTCCTCTTGGAAACGGCATTTTGGAAAGAAAATTAGCAGGAAGGGCTTGTTTGGTTGGTTCTTTTCAGATAGGGAAGCGCCGCTGCAGCTCCTCCATCCCCTCCTGCCCCCCAGCAGAACTCGGGGCTCACAGGAGCCCAGCTTGGCTCCTAAACCTCCTTCACACCAGGGAGGGAAGGGCCAGTCCTGCCCTCCAGCAGGGCACACAATTAGGCAAAGCAAACGAGTTGTCAATAAGCCCTTGAGTGTTCAATGAGACGTCGCTAATGGGAAGGCAAACGCTCCCTCGCCTGAATCCGCGGTGACAACGCTCAAGTTGGCGCTTGATGTCTCCGTGATGAAGCTATTTTCAGTCGCCTTTGAATCCTCCTCGGAAAAGTCAGCCTTGGAATCAAAAGAAAAAGGGAAAGCCACGGCTGCTCTGAGCTCCTGTGCGCGCATTTAATCAGTCCAGGCGTTTAAATTATTTATCCACGAGCAGGAAAGCTGTACTAATCTTGGGAACGGAACGTAGGAAGGGGGAAAGCAGACATAAAGACACACTGAATGACGTGATGCAGCAGAGAATCCTCTCACACACAAGGTAACTTGTGACCACGGGTGTTTTAAATATTTGTTTTTGCAGCCTGGGCTGCAAAAGTCAAAATACAGAGGTTGGCTGCTACCAGGAGGAGTGTTTCCCCAAACATTATTGCTTTCAACAAGCACAAAGCCCTCGTCAAAAGTTGGTACTTTCCTTAGTTTGAAAGAGCAGAACTTTTAATTTTTTTTTTTCTTTCCCAAACCCAAAACTGGCGTCCAGGGGAAAACAGAGTATTTGAGAAGGGACATCCAGTGGTCTGGACCAGACCATCCCTCCTCATCACTTCCACATGGAAAACAACCTTCTGCCTTTCTTCCTTGGTCTGAGCCTTCTCCTCTACCTCACTTGTCAAAGCCAAGGGTCTGTCCAAGCTGGATGGGAAACCTCCAGGCTGGAAGACACTCCAGCCCACTGCAGCCTTGCTCCCGTGGGAACAAGCTGAACTCCCTCCCACACTGAAATCACAAAGGTTGGGCTGAGCACAGAGAAAACAAAATCCCCACCTTGGCTTCTCAAGAGACCCGGGGAGAAGTTCAAGGTATTCCAGCTCACTTCAAGCCCCCGCCAGCTGCTGTTTCAATCGTTTTGTTTCTATAATCTGGGCAGCACACCAAAGATCACAAGGTTTGGGTTTAAGTTTCATTTCAAAAAAAACATCTCGCAGGAGAAGAATCATTCCTCCATTTTATTAAGCAAAAGCCAGGGGCTGCTGACAGCGCTGTTAGAGGCGGCAGCATCAATGGAACATTATATACATATTAAAGATATAAAAAGGAAAACACTGAGCTGGAAGGTTACTAACAAGAAGAGAGAGAGAGAAACCCCTGAGAACATTCTCTTTGCAGTTCCTTTTTACGCAAGCCAACACTTAAAAAGTCTCCTGGCTGAGATTCCCCGAGTAACCCACCAAGTGTTTCACAGCATCCTCCCTCCAACCGGTGTGAGGACCCAGCAGGGCCATTTCTAAGGGAATGACACGCCTGTTATTGACAAAACCATTCACAGAGCAAGGAGACACCAGCAAGGCAAATATATCCACTGTTTGGAAATCAACACTGGCTCAAATTGAGTTACAATGGGGAAACGACCTGTGGTGATTCCCGAGGTCCTTGGTGTCACTGCTCGGTGAGACCCTGCAAGAGGGAACCCGGCTTCACAAGGAGAGGGGAAAGAGAAGGAAATGAAAAGAAATAACGATAATAAACCAGCCTTTGGCACCCCAGCCTGCCCAACTGCTCCCAGGTACAGGGGATCCCGAGTCCCCTTCCTTCTTAGGATCAATATTCCAGCAGTGGGAATCCTGCACTTGATGTTTGCTTTCAGCTGACATCAGCCTTCCTACACGGTACTCCTGTCATTAGTTCTGGTCAGAGACAGACGAGATCACAGAGCCACAGAACATCCTGAGCTGGAAGGGACCCACAAGGACCATCCAGTCCAACTCCTGGCCCTGCCCAGGACACCCCAACAATCCCACCCTGTCCCTGAGAGCGTTGTCCAAACCCTCCTGCAGCTCTGGCAGCCTTGGGGCCGTGCCCACTGCCCTGGGGAGCCTGTTCAGTGCCAACCACCCTCTGGGGGAAGAACCTTGTCCTGAGATCCAACCTGAGCCTGCCCTGACACAGCTCCAGCCGTTCCCTGGGCTCCTGTCCCCGCTCACCCAGAGCGGAGGTCGGAGCTGCAGCACCCCCCCCCTGAGCTCTGCCCTCAATGTTCCTCCACCTGAACATTCCAAGTGCCCTCAGCTGCTCCTCGTATGGCCCCTCCCAACCCTTCACCATCTGTGTTCCTCCTTTAGATGCTCTCCAAGAGCTTTATAACCTTCTCATATTGTGGTGCCCAAAACTGCCCCCAGCACTTGAGGTGGCCCATTTCATTGTGGGGTTTTTTTGGGTTTTTTTTCCTTTGGTAGCTTTTTTTTGTGGGTTATTTTGTTTCCTTTTTCTATTCAAGTGCCTCATGCTGTAACTTTGAGGATAATTACCTTGGGGGCTGACATTTCCCGTCCCTGCTCTCATGGCAGAGGGTAGGGATCTGAAGATGATCTGCTTGGTCATTCCAGGCTTTTAAACATGCTCTCAGATAAGCACAGCTGCGTTCTTAACAGCAGCTGAAATCACGGAATTTAAGGAAGGAAAATT